TATATATATATATATATATATATATATATATATATATATAATATTAATATACGCCTTTTTTGCCAAATTAGCCTTTTTGCGTCCGACAGCCTTTTCGATCAAAAACTATCCCCAAAGTAGCTTTTATAAAAACAAAGAGTTGAATCATTGCTTTTTTTCTCTTCTACTCCTTTCCTTCTCCTCACTCTTTCTTTTTATCCTTTCTTTTTCCTTCGTTAACTGTGGTTTTGGAGTTTCTCGGGTTTAGGAAACCCGTGCCTTTTGACGCCTTTTCACTCAAATGACTGCAAATTTCGTTAGACTGGTTTTCAAAACATCGGCTTATGTAATAGCTACTCACTGATTAACGTAATGCTGTGTGTTTTGCCTCCTAGCTGGAATCATGTCCGTTTGATTATTTGGAGGTTTTTAATGGTGGCACAAAAGATATAAAGAAACGTGTGGCTAAGCTATGCGGAAGTGATTTACCCGATCCTATCGAATCCAGTGGCAATACACTCATCCTAAAGTTCTCTTCAGACAGCTCATGTGGCTACAAAGGCTTTAAGCTGCAGCTTACAAAAACAGGTGTGGCACTAGTTCTGTTCCTACATATCAAGAGTAATGAGAATTATTCTCTCTGTATTAGACTACAAGCTACGGACTTTGTCAGACTTTAAAACTTGGAATTTCTTTTCTGCGAGAGGCTAAAATATTAAAAGATTAATGTGACTCAATCATAAAATGTGTTTGAATGGAATATAATTTCTTCTTTATTACCTATACAGTTCATCCGACAAATCGCAAATCCAAGTTACGAGTTGAAAAACACCGAAATAGTTAGCCTTTCGTTAACGTTGCATTTTAGCCTATTAAACAAACATCTTAGCCCTACCTTTTATAGTTTAACCTACCGCTTGTCACTGCTCCTTGACAAGAAAAGCGGCTCCCTTCTCAATCAGTTAATTTTTTTGTACGAAGGCCCAGAATGTTGAAACGTAACGCTGGCTAGCCAGGGCTATCTACCGGATGAATTACCATCAAGTAGACTGAAACGCGGTTCAGGATTGGTGTTCCCAGTGCAACTGTTTTTCTTTTGGAAAAATTAAGTCATTCGTAGAAAATTTCACGGAATATATACCACTCGAAAGCCTCGCACTAGATAGAAATTGAACTGACTCAGTTTGATAATTTAGCTTAAACTATTGAGATTTATAGACATAAACGAGTGTGTGACAGGAAAACACCAGTGCGATTTCGCTAGTTTATTGTGCTATAACACTCTAGGATCTTTTGGGTGTGTCTGTCGGAAGGGGTATAAGTCCAAAAGTGGACAACATAATTGTACAGGTAACATGTCAAGATCTTTAAATTGAAACACTCATATCAGATACTTTGTAGCCAATTCTCTTTGGCGTTAATTTCTTATCTTCGAAAGTCGTTTTCTACTAAATTCGTTTTAATTTAAGTTGCGTTAATTTCTTATCCCTTCATTTTTATTTTTATAGAGCGTTAATTTCCCATAAAAAGGCAGGAATATAATTGTTATTCTAATAGGCCATTTTATTTATTGTAGTTGACTCAAGCCTCTGTCTTAAAACGAGGTTAAGTGCGAAGCCTTTGACACGAAAATGAATTTTACAGGAGAAAAGTTTAGAAATTGAGCTCGTTTTGAAAGTGAAGATGTTTGGAACTCGGAGATAATGGTATTGATCTCACTAAAATGACTATCGCGGTAGGCCACAGTTACTTGAAATTAAAGAAAAACTAAATCAGTTTTAATGATTCAGTGCCTGACTTCGTAATTGCAGATATAAATGAATGTGAAACAGGAGAGCACAACTGTGACGCAAACGCTATCTGCAGTAACACAATAGGATCTTTTGTGTGCACTTGCAAGCCAGGGTATTCTGGGAATGGAGTTAAATGCACAGGTGAAACAGTATACCATGGTATTCCTTATAATCGTTTCTTAATCAACTCTGATTTTTCTCACATTTACGCCAAGTTCAGTTACAAGGTAGGCTCGATTACGAGCCGCTGTTCGGAAATGAGCCTGCTCTCTTCCCCTCGGGGAGGACCGCCTAGAGAGCAGCGGGAATCGAGCCTGGTAACAAGGTAGTATGCTGTTATAAAGATTCAGATATTTGGATATACGTCAAAATATATGTTGCAGTTGATTTTTTACCTTAGATAATTTTTGTTTTTCTTTTGTGGGTATGGTAATGTATGCTGCCTAATGAAGTTGAAACAAAGAAAACATAAAAATTACCTGAGATAAAAAACTAACTTTACCATGTGCATTGCAGTTGCAGTGTCAGTATTTATAATATTGTTGTTTCTTAATATGCCTTTCAGCTTATGCCTTTTGTTGTTTTATGTTGTTTCTTAATATGCCCTTTCATTGTGGTTAGGGCTCGCCTCAAAGCATTTTGAGACTTCGTAATTGTCTTCTGAGCTTGTTTCAGTTTAAAATCCAGATATTTTCAAGTTACATGGCTCAGTAAGAACAGCTACTTGTTAAAGAGCTACTTTTCCTTCCACTGCTCCACGAGAAGACGCTTAATTTAGCGAAAAGACATAAAAACAGATGGGTGGAAATTGAGAAGAAGATCAGTGCAGCAGCCAGCTATTGTATGGATCAATCTTTTCTCAGATTTTTGTTCCGGCTAGCAGGAAAATCCAAATCTAGATTGTATAAAATCCGAAAAACGTTTGGCTAAAGGGAACGCAACCTTAATGTCGCTTTAACCTGCGATCAGAGCTCTTTTTTCCTTAGTAATTTGAGATACTTTAACACTTTTTAAGATAACAGGGAGAGGGAATCATCTCAGGTTAATAGTGCTGAATAAAAAGGGCGTATTCCAAGATTTAGCGTCTGATTTTACGTAATAACTGATTTTTTTATTATTACCATCTATAGGTTCTCGTTCAGTTCAGTGCGGAGGTAACGTTACTATTAACAACACTGGTGAAATTACTAGTCCCCGATTTCCATTAAACTATCCTAAGAATGCAAACTGTCAGTGGAAAATCTACGTGGATGAAAGCTCACGAATAAAGCTAACGTTCATGGACTTTAAAGTAAGTGATAAATTAATGAGGGAACAAAGTTTTTTTAAGTGATTAGCAGCGACATTTCTTTTAAAAAATTCTATTCTTAAACTAAGTCGCAAAGAATGCATACGCGAAAAGAAAGCCGGAAAATCTTCAGGCTTGCCGGGAGTAGAACCCTTGACCTCTGCGATACCGGTGAAGCGATTTCAGCAATTGAGCTGGCAACCCAACTGGGAGCTGGTCATTAAATTAGTTCGTAACCGCATACCCAGGAAAGATGAAGATGAAATAATTAATATATGAATTTCAAACATTTAAACCGCGGAATTAATACATAAATGCATAGAAGATCCTCGCAGTTAAAGTCGCAACTTATGCATTGCGCCCTCCGCCCCATGTTAATCACAAATCACGAATCTCCCAATCCTAAGTTCTTGCGAATAAAGATGATCTCTTTACCCATCAAATACGCAGTTCTACCCCCCCTACCTTCCGGGGGGGCGTTCCCGCAACCTGCCAAAATTTACATTCATGAGCTATATCTACAGAGTTAGGATTTTTAACTAAAAAAAAACTAACGAGTTAGCGGAGCTACATTAGGAGTGATGGTTTCCTAACTTTTGATCCTGGTTTTGTGAACCACGCCACATTAATTCACACCTTGTTCAAGGCTTCCGGTTCAGAATGATACCCTGTTTTAGACTCAGGATCCCGAAAACCGCACCCAGTTTAGCGGCGCATCCCTATTTAGGCCAGGTAAGGGTCCGGAGTCCCCCACCTGGTATTATAGACGGAAGTTACTTCTCTCCTTTTACCCGATCTGCAATATAAGATAGTACGCGCGCTCTGATTGGCCGAGAGGAGTGTTTGCATGAGAGTATGTAAACATGGTTGTGGCGTCAAGTTGTTTGGCTTTTCGCGCGCTAATCACGCAAGCACGAATTTGAAAAAGTTTTCTAGTTCAAGGGAGGCGTTGGGAGAATTCTCGACGGTTATGCAAACCCTCGACTTCGTCGTCGGGTTTGCATAACTGTCTCGAATTCTCCCAACTCCTCTCGTGTTTATATCAGGCTATGCAAACACGGAAAACGTTTTCTATTGCTTAAATATAGGCGTTGTTTTTGAAAATGTTTTCGCCAATTTGGGCCTTTTTAATTTGCGTCCAACAGTTTTGTCGGCCAAAAGCTGTCCCCAAAGTAACTATTATAAAAATTAAGTGAGTGGAACCATTGCTTTTTTTTTCTCTTCTCCTCCTGTCCTTCTCCTCGCTCCTTCTTTTTCTCCTTTCCTTTTCCTTCGTTACTGTGATTTTGGAGCTTCTCGGTCTTAGGAAACCTGCCTTTTGACGCCTTTTCACACAAATGACTGCAAATTTCGTTAGGCTGGTTTTCAAAAAATCGGCTTATGTAATAGCTACTCGGTGAGTAACGTATGTTTTGCCTCCTAGCTGGGATCATGTCCGTTTGATTATTTGGAGGTTTTTAATAGTGGCACAAAAGATATAAAGACACGTGTGGCTAAGCTATGCGGAAGTGATTTACCTGATCCTATCGAATCCAGTGGCAACACACTCATCCTAAAGTTCTCTTCAGATTACGCAATTGGCTACAAAGGCTTTAAGCTGCGGCTTACAAAAACAGGTGTGGCACTAGCTAGTTCTGTTAGTATATACGAAGAGTAATGAGAATTATTCTCTCTGTACATACTGTGTTACCGTGATGTAATTAGGCCTTTACAATGTGGTAGCAAGGGTCTGCAAAACGCCGGATAAGCAATAGTACCTACAGCGAATCTCTACCTACAAGAGATCAGACCGTGCGTCAAGCGATCACTTACGAATGCGAAAAACAATAAATCATTTTGTAAAATCACTTTACTCCAAAAAGTAGTCGCGGCCACATGAAAGAGCGATACGAGAGGTTTCAACTGCAAGCTTTTACGGGGAATTATTATTATGTTTTGTTTTTTTGGTGGATAAGAACTCGCTTAATTGGAGATGGTTGTCGCACATGGTGGTTCGATCTTAATATGTATATTTCTATAATGTCAATCTTACGTCTTTCAGCTCCATTGTGTGGCCCAGAGGGTGCTTTCGCTGATTATGCCTTCCTCGTAGATGCTTCAAGTAGTATTCTCCCATCGGAATTTGATATTTTAAAAACGTTCGTCAAACGAGTGATAGACTTTCTTCAGATTGGACCTAATCAGACCCATGTTGGTGTGATTGAGTACAGCAGGAGTGCTAGTTTGCAGCTCAATTTTTCAAGATCCTTTGACAAACGAGAAATTAAGAGCTTTGTGGAACAAGTGCCCCATACTGCGGGTATCACACGGATCGATTTGGCGTTGAAGGTTGCTTCGGAACAATTATTCACACCGCAAGAAGGAATGAGAGACGATTCAAGAAAGGTAAAGTTAAGCTGCATCTATCAATGAATTCAACGGTCATGATTTTCTAAGGTTACAGAACGATTTTATGTCGATAACGTTTTATTATTTTGTGATTTATTCAAATGAAAGAGCATTTACAGTAGTAAAAAGAGACACAAAGTTCTAAACTTAGGTAATGGGTGAAAGAGGTACCATTTGTCAATAGAAGGTATACTAAAGGGGTACCGTTTTCTGTCAAAAATGGTAAGAGGTCAGACCTAGGGGGTGGATACTAAGCAATTGTTCAACATCCAGGGACATCCAACGACTATTTTCATTGTAAAAACATCTGTTCGAAGAAGCAAATATTGCCTAGAATTTTCTATTTTTTCGAGGATTGCTAAAATTTTCTAGATGACCGTTTCATTCATGTACAATTCGCGAAGCTTATCTAATAAATTTTGTGAAGTTTAATTTTTTATATGTTAATGCCCAGGTTGGGCTGTATTCGTACAAAAAAGGAAATCTAAAATGTTCGGATTTAAAACTGTGATAGAGAGAGGAATCCTTTAATATGCCTTAACGCTACCTCTTATGAACTAACCATGTGGGGAAATACATTGAATCTCCTCGTACTATAAACTGTTTATCACAAAGCTAGCAAAACCTTAAAAATAGCAAAACTGAAGAACAAAACTAAAAGCAGCTACCTCTTAACACTACTATATAAAATTTTGTTTCAAATCACGGCTCGAGAGTGGAAAAAGTCAACTTCCGGTTGACGTCAGTGGCTCAAAAACATCGCAAATAAGCTCCCTGTTATCTCTTGGTGCCCCCCAGAGCTGCTGGACATGTTGCAGGTAACGAGAATAAAGAAAATTAAGTCACTTACAACTCGCTGAAAAAACTCAAGAGAGATATGTTAATGGTTCACAGCTGAAATTTCGAAATAAGTAGAGACCTTTAGGTTCGAGGACCAGGTTTCCAAATTTGGCTTATTTTTTTCCCGCGCATTCTCAAAAAATAGACCCCCGGAAAGCTTTATTTTACTTTTTTTTTTTCACCATAATAGTTAACACGGTCATTTTAAGTAAAGGAGCTGGGTTAAGCCCTTTCCCGATCCCAACACTGATGGTAACATTTGATGACTTGATGTGCAGACCACATCGTATTGAGAAAAGTTTCGTTCTCGTAGTTGTACTCGAACAACAACAAATCAACAAAAATTTTATTCGACATAGTTCAGATACAACACTAATTACACACTCATATAATTGATCACAGGAATACTGAGAAATCGCAAAAAAACTTTCCCCCCGCTAATACATAAAAGGCTAATCGCCGGAGGCGGCAGAAAGATGAAAACAAACTTATGGTGATGAAATAAGACAAAACTGAGATAACAATACAATAAGTTTAAATAAGAAAATTAAATGGAAAAATTTACATCCAAAAAAAAAGGTAAATGAATAAATAAAATTAAAAAAAATTGTAATTGCTAAGTCTCCCAATTGCTAAAGTAATTGAGCAATTGAGGCTTCAATATAGTCATTTTCAAGCTCTAAGGTTTCAAGAAGTATTTGTTTATTATAATAATTTTGTTTCGGAACTTGGATTTACCAAAACATCTAACAGAGTAAGGGATAGAGTTCCAAATGGATACACCAATCCTTGCAAAAGATTTTTTTATTTGCTCAGTTTTGAAAGTTTTCACGAAGAAGCATTCATTTAACGATAATCTGGTATTATTTGTGAATCGTACTAGTTTTGGTTAATTGGCTAAGAATGTTAGTTGGGACGGACTGCTCATGAATGCATGATGCATACCTTAAATAACTTACATGTTTAAAAAACGAAAAGGACTGACAAAGAAAGACATTTTGCTTGGACAAAAAAGGGAAAGGCATATTCCGAGCATTACCCAAAAAATTAAGCGAAAAGCACGTTTTTGCAGTACCAATAGCCTCTTAGAATATAAGGTTCTCTTTTCAATCTGTTGGCTGGCAACCAATTTGATGTGCGATTTTTTCAGGTCATGGTGCTTCTTACTGACGGAAACCAAACTGGATTTGACCTTGTTCCTGATCAGACACCTCTTGAAGATGCAATACAACCAATCAGGGATTTGGGTGTCAAGGTTATTGCGATTGGTATTGGAAGTGTAGACAGGGAGCAGCTGGCAACTTTGGTCACTGACCCCAATGATATTCTACAGCCAAAAAATTTTCAAGAACTCTTGACTTTAGTGAAGACAACGGTTGAAAAGAGCTGTGAAGGTACGTATTTAAATAGTTAACTTCATATTGGCGCCTCGGCCCTGAAGATCTGCTTTTGACGGCTAAAAGAACTGAGAGAATGGATTGGAAGCTTTCTGGCCCCTCCCCTCCCCGCTGATGATGATACGAACATCTGGAAATACAGCTCACGTATAGCTCGCGATATTTATGCATTCGGTGTCAAAGAGTATAAGACTGGGAGACCCATTACAATCGAAAAGGGGGTTAGCATCTATGAATCCTGTTTCTTATTCATTTTTGGGTAACGATTTCGTATAAACCGAACAAGCTGCATTTCCATAGAGATGAGTGAAGTCCAAAATCCGTCGATACAAAGCGGCAGTAATGTGATTGTTTCGTTATGTTTACTAGGTGGAAACAGCCCTGAGTTCAGTTTGTTGTCCCGTCTGTGATGGTATGAACATGAGAGGTTACCGGTTCAGTGAAAAACGGCAGAGGAATCATGCGTTAACCGACATAAAATCGATTTCATCGACTAATGCCTCATAGCTTGTCAGTTTTTAACTTGTTTTATAATTTTTCAGTTGTCAGGGACAAAGCTTGCCTTATATTAGAGCGATTTTCGTATGACCTTGAAATGAAAACGCGCGAATGAAACAGAAACAACAAACGAACGGAAATAGAGTTATTTGATTGGTTTATCGAACGGATACAAACGCGCGTGGCTTTTGGTTGGCTAAGCGAATGCTGGGGTGAAAAAAAACTTCATGCCCGAGAACTTTCTAGAAATCAATCGATACTTCGCTTTGACGTCATACGGCAACACAATTGGCCAATCGAACAAAGCCTTCTCCATATTAGGGTTTTCTTTGGCGGGAAAACGAAGAGTCCATGTTTTGATCTTTTCATCCACTGGTTGCTAAAACAAATAATGAACACTTACCGAAACCATTTTTGAAGGTCATACGAAAATTGCTCTAACAGTCTTCAGCTAATTGGCCCCTGTCTTTAGAGCATATTCCATTTTTAATTGGCATATAAAAAGTTGCTGGAAATGCGCAACCTCGCTCCCAGGGTCCTCTCCTACTCGTCTCCCAGAGCGATAGATTTCACAGCTGAAATTTCGAAATAAGTAGAGACCTTTAGGTTCGAGGACCAGGTTTCCAAATTTGGCTTATTTTTTTCCCGCGCATTCTCAAAAAATAGACCCCCGGAAAGCTTTATTTTACTTTTTTTTTTTCACCATAATAGTTAACACGGTCATTTTAAGTAAAGGAGCTGGGTTAAGCCCTTTCCCGATCCCAACACTGATGGTAACATTTGATGACTTGATGTGCAGACCACATCGTATTGAGAAAAGTTTCGTTCTCGTAGTTGTACTCGAACAACAACAAATCAACAAAAATTTTATTCGACATAGTTCAGATACAACACTAATTACACACTCATATAATTGATTACAGGAATACTGAGAAATCGCAAAAAAACTTTCCCCCCGCTAATACATAAAAGGCTAATCGCCGGAGGCGGCAGAAAGATGAAAACAAACTTATGGTGATGAAATAAGACAAAACTGAGATAACAATACAATAAGTTTAAATAAGAAAATTAAATGGAAAAATTTACATCCAAAAAAAAAGGTAAATGAATAAATAAAATTAAAAAAAATTGTAATTGCTAAGTCTCCCAATTGCTAAAGTAATTGAGCAATTGAGGCTTCAATATAGTCATTTTCAAGCTCTAAGGTTTCAAGAAGTATTTGTTTATTATAATAATTTTGTTTCGGAACTTGGATTTACCAAAACATCTAACAGAGTAAGGGATAGAGTTCCAAATGGATACACCAATCCTTGCAAAAGATTTTTTTATTTGCTCAGTTTTGAAAGTTTTCACGAAGAAGCATTCATTTAACGATAATCTGGTATTATTTGTGAATCGTACTAGTTTTGGTTAATTGGCTAAGAATGTTAGTTGGGACGGACTGCTCATGAATGCATGATGCATACCTTAAATAACTTACATGTTTAAAAAACGAAAAGGACTGACAAAGAAAGACATTTTGCTTGGACAAAAAAGGGAAAGGCATATTCCGAGCATTACCCAAAAAATTAAGCGAAAAGCACGTTTTTGCAGTACCAATAGCCTCTTAGAATATAAGGTTCTCTTTTCAATCTGTTGGCTGGCAACCAATTTGATGTGCGATTTTTTCAGGTCATGGTGCTTCTTACTGACGGAAACCAAACTGGATTTGACCTTGTTCCTGATCAGACACCTCTTGAAGATGCAATACAACCAATCAGGGATTTGGGTGTCAAGGTTATTGCGATTGGTATTGGAAGTGTAGACAGGGAGCAGCTGGCAACTTTGGTCACTGACCCCAATGATATTCTACAGCCAAAAAATTTTCAAGAACTCTTGACTTTAGTGAAGACAACGGTTGAAAAGAGCTGTGAAGGTACGTATTTAAATAGTTAACTTCATATTGGCGCCTCGGCCCTGAAGATCTGCTTTTGACGGCTAAAAGAACTGAGAGAATGGATTGGAAGCTTTCTGGCCCCTCCCCTCCCCGCTGATGATGATACGAACATCTGGAAATACAGCTCACGTATAGCTCGCGATATTTATGCATTCGGTGTCAAAGAGTATAAGACTGGGAGACCCATTACAATCGAAAAGGGGGTTAGCATCTATGAATCCTGTTTCTTATTCATTTTTGGGTAACGATTTCGTATAAACCGAACAAGCTGCATTTCCATAGAGATGAGTGAAGTCCAAAATCCGTCGATACAAAGCGGCAGTAATGTGATTGTTTCGTTATGTTTACTAGGTGGAAACAGCCCTGAGTTCAGTTTGTTGTCCCGTCTGTGATGGTATGAACATGAGAGGTTACCGGTTCAGTGAAAAACGGCAGAGGAATCATGCGTTAACCGACATAAAATCGATTTCATCGACTAATGCCTCATAGCTTGTCAGTTTTTAACTTGTTTTATAATTTTTCAGTTGTCAGGGACAAAGCTTGCCTTATATTAGAGCGATTTTCGTATGACCTTGAAATGAAAACGCGCGAATGAAACAGAAACAACAAACGAACGGAAATAGAGTTATTTGATTGGTTTATCGAACGGATACAAACGCGCGTGGCTTTTGGTTGGCTAAGCGAATGCTGGGGTGAAAAAAAACTTCATGCCCGAGAACTTTCTAGAAATCAATCGATACTTCGCTTTGACGTCATACGGCAACACAATTGGCCAATCGAACAAAGCCTTCTCCATATTAGGGTTTTCTTTGGCGGGAAAACGAAGAGTCCATGTTTTGATCTTTTCATCCACTGGTTGCTAAAACAAATAATGAACACTTACCGAAACCATTTTTGAAGGTCATACGAAAATTGCTCTAACAGTCTTCAGCTAATTGGCCCCTGTCTTTAGAGCATATTCCATTTTTAATTGGCATATAAAAAGTTGCTGGAAATGCGCAACCTCGCTCCCAGGGTCCTCTCCTACTCGTCTCCCAGAGCGATAGACGGGACAAATAGGAGAGGAACCTGGGAATGAGGCTGGGAAATAGGCTTCTTCAGGAAAAATATAATGAACTGGTCTTAAAAGGTACCGGGGAAAGTACTTGACTTTTTATGCAATGTTTCCATTTTACCTTTGTTATTATCTGTCGGATATAACACGCGCATTTCACGTAAATGGCAAAATTTCTGAATATGTGATAATGGTGATGATGATGATGATGATGATGATGATGATAACTGTGACAGTTTGTTATAAAGTCAGAATGATTATACTTGGGGACTCAGTTCTAATAACTGCAAATTATTTTAAGTTTTAATTTTATTTCAGTGATTTTGCTTCAGAAGGAACAGTGGCACTCTTGTCAATAAAGCTTGTATTGAAGTTGTTGTTCTTGTTTGTTATTATATTTCGTGGTTCTAGGGCACCCAGTGATATGACCAGGCTGACCTTATATCGGGGACACGTAGGAACCTTTATGATAAAAAGACATGAACTGCAAATATGTCACCATTTTATTTTTGTTTTCTCTCTATATTTTTTCTATCACTCTTGCTGCCGTATAAAGGCCGGATCAGTCAGTACTGTAAAAAGTTTTAATTTTAAGGTTTGGTATTGAAGACTTTATTAATCCAGGTCTACTAAAGATCCGGTTGAATCTCATCACTGGTTTGTCGTTGAGGTTTGCCTTCACAAGAGTTTAGGAACCTTAACCCGGAGCGAGCACGCAACTCCCATATTAGGCCTTTGTCATACTGTTTCACAGACTGGTCTATTTTTAGATGCAGTTTAGAGCTTTTTGGAGCGAAATGGAAGCTCAGTTCTATCAAGAGAGAATGAGGATCATTCTCTCTTGGTTCTATCTGTTGTCGACGTCTGGTTTTTCGGGAGTGGAGAAGATCTCCCAAGTCTACTCCACTGGGAAGTCTCTCGATCGACTTTCGACCACCATTTAAGCGGGGGTGGTTCAGGTCAATTGGGCCCACGATCTCTATCGGTCGCTGACCAGCGGGTAAAAGTCAAATACGAAAAGTTGAATGCCGAATGCGGAAACTTGTAAGTACAATGCCCAAAGTCGGATGTCGGAGGCGAAAACTTAAAGGACAAATGCTAAATGTTGGATGCGAAAAAATGAATGTACATTCCACGGAACTCGAAGGTCGAATTCGAAAACTTGGCTGTTGCTTATGAAAAGTTGAATGTCGAAAGCGGAAACTTGAATGTTGCGTAAATCAAAGTTGAATGTTGGATGCAAAAAAGTTGAATCGCGAATGCAAACTCAAATGACAAACACAAAATGTAGTATAGATTGCGCTAAGTACAATGTAAACTGGAACATTGAATTTTGGCGGAACTGGAACGCCATAGACGGAACTGAAATACGTGTCAATGCGGATTTTTCTACGGCGGTAGCGACTGAAAGCACTCAGGGGACGGGCGACGAGTGAAAGGAGCTTTTTAGTATTTTAAAATGGGACTCGCAATCATAGAATATGTTTGAATGGAATATTATTATTTCCTCTTTATTACCTAATAATATATTTTTTCCTACAAATCGCAAATCTAAGTTATGAGTTGAATAACACAGAAATAGTCAGCCTTTAGGTAGAAAATGTCACGTCACCGAGTAAAATGATATAAAGATAGAAAATGTTCCATCACAGGCCGTTAAAATGATAAGGTAGAAAATGTCATAGCACGGTAGTAAAATGATATTTAAGCAACAGAAAACGTTATCCGCGTTTGCATAGCCTGATATAAACACGAGAGGGGTTGGGAGAATTCGAGACAGTCATGCAAACACGAGACGAAGTCGAGGGTTTGCATAACTGTTGAGAAATTTCCCAACCCCTCGAGTGTTTATATCAGGATATGCAAACACAGGAAAAAAGTTTCTTATTGCTTTTATAAAATAACTTTCCCAAGAAAAAAAGCAAAACTCTCTTGTTTAGAGCATTGATTAAAAGAGAAATTCTTACCAGTCGCAAAGTCTTGTACACGAAGCTTGTACGC